AGAGTAAAAGCAATGACACCTTACATTACTCATGTATAGTTATATGTATGTTAAGTGTAAGTAAGTTTAAGTTTGTAAGGTATCATCTGCTAAAAAATCTCAGTCCCTAATAAGTTCATTTTGACCCGAAGGGGGACTCGGGCAGCCCGTACATAGCCGACCACCGCCTCAAGAACACCCCGGTGCAGCTGGGAGTCCTTTCCTACGGCGGCCTGACGTGTGGCGAGACGGCGCCCAGCGTCTACACGCACGTGGGGTCCTACCTGCCATGGATCAAGCACCACACGGGTATTGACAGCGGATAGAGAATGGATCGCAGAACAGAGAAAGTGTTAATTAACGGACGACTAATTTGTTAAACCTGTGACAAGGCGTTGAGGAATAATATTAATCCCTCCAGTGTTATTTTTTAGTATACCTCTGGTTGATACTCTGCAATCTGCAATAATGGGCTATTTCAGAGCTGGTCGTGAAGAGGTAAAATGGAAGAACAAAAGAGGCGCAGGCGCCTCCCACCCCATTTCCCTTTTTCTCGCACTCTGCATCTGCGCCTGAGGAGCTTCTTCCATTTTATTTCTTTAGCCAACTCTGAAATACCCCATGCAGAATGAAAATTATGTGAAACAAGATAACCCCCTGTGAGACACTGTCGTAAGGGTCTAGAGAACACAGTTTTGTGACAATAACTGAGTGATCTCAAGATGACGCCATTTGCTGGCTAGCTTTGGTGTCATTTTGACCTTCATTTAAACCCCCTTCAAGTTGGCAAACATTTCTCAACTCCGGTAACAAAAACGTTAGCAGGTACGGCAGTCCTTTTTTCCAGTTTTAACTTAATTTTACCGGAGCAGATAACCGTTTGACTAACGACGAGCACTTCAGCAAACTCACTAATTGGCGAGCAGGTGTTACGCTTGGTGGTGGTTTGATTTCGTCATAATTAGTTAGCGGTAGTGTTATAGCCTGGAAAGATGTTTCTTCGTTCCCATCGAGAATCGAAATGAACTTTACAGAATAAAAAAGCAAAAACTCTTAGAACAAGTACATTATATTTGAAGTGTTTATTAGTTCAACAAAATTCCCCGGTTATACTTTAATATTCATGCTAATAAATGTGTTGATTTCTGGCTCGGCGACGTCCACGAACACTGTACTTCCCCATGACATGATCCCATAAAGAACATTCCCGATGAACGCTGGACATCCTGAGTTGCCCTGTAAATGCAAAGATACGCGCAATTGTTGGGCCTCATACATTGTCCACTATTAATTATATTAAAGCCTCACAACGATTGCTTACATTGTCAGGAGGGTTCGACACGCAAAATTCCTCAGGAGTTATATTGGCCAACATTTGATTGCCACAAACTACACTGTTCATAATTTGTCCTTGCTTTAGTCTGGGTTTCCCGTTATCGTCCTCTCCCTGTGCAAAAAAAAAAATGGTAAAGACTGTTTGAGCGGTACTGTACACCACCGTGCCCCCTGTGGGCCATATGGTTCAGTTCCCCACTGGCGCAGTTTTAGGGGTCGGGTAGGCTGGAGACGCCTCTCTTGCACTGGTAGGGCGTCTGGCTGGAGCGCAGCGGTGGAGGCGCGACTCTGCGAGGGAACACTGACTGCTACCATAATAGGCAAATCGATATTTCAGTGCCAGGGCAGAGTTCCAGCGGGTGAAATGCGCCGGATTCAGAGCCGCTGACAGGGCATTGACTCTTTGACAGAACAGCAGGCGAGGGGGAAATCACTTGCGAAATAGTTCGTACACCTTCCCCCGAAATAGTCCGAAATAAAGGCGAAATAGAGCGAAATTAAGACGAAATAGACCCGAAATAGTCGGTGAAATAGTCGCGAAATACCCCTGAAATACTCCGAAATAGCCTGAAATAATCCGAAATAGGCGGGAAATAGCCGAAATGGCAGGAGAAATAACCGAAATGGTAGGAGAAATACCACGAAATAGTCCGTACGCTATGAACCCTAGTGATTTCCCCCTCGACAGCAGGCCACCGGTTGGAGGAACCCTCTGGCTACAACCGACACCGTGGAAATAATGAAGGGCCTCAACGTGTATTAAATATGATTGCTTAAAGTCACAGTCAGGTGATGGAAATGTCTTCTTCTGTGAGGAGGAGCAACTTCAGGCGCCCGTGCAGCGGCCCTTACCCAATCGTAGATTCCAAATCCCGCTACAGTTATGTTTGCACCAACAGCTGCCCTGGCTCCCGGGCTGGTGAGTGCAATGGTGCTCGCCTGCGTTCCGAGTACCAAGGCTTCCTTCAGTCGAACCAGGGACACGTCAAAGTTAAAATTGACGTTCGCTGCGCCATTCACGATCACGTACTTTGGGTGCCTCATGACGGTTTGGGCTGCGTGCACGACGCGGGAGCCCTGCCCAAGAAGCGCGCCGGTTAACACGTTTACGTTGGAGGCATTAGCGACACTGCAAACACAGGGAGAAGATTAAGGTGTCGCAACGAAACAATGTTTAGGGGAGGTTTTCAAAATAAGCGACATATTTGTGTCTTTTGGCCGTAGAATCGTTATTTTTCTGTCGTTTTCGATGCCGTCTGGCTTATTTGATTCGGGGGAAGGTGGCGAATTAAATTTTAGTACAAAAAGGCAATGTCAGTGGTGAAAGTAACCGAAATTCCTTATTAAGTAGTCAAAATGTAACTTCCGTACTGTCCTCCGCGCTAAAACCTTAACTTTGGACATCTATATCTTCAAAAGTCTTTGTCGGAGAGAAAATCCGGAAGCTCCTACGCGTTCCTCCATGTTTTCTGAGCAACATATTCGAATCGCTAACTACTGTCGCAAATACACTGGTCAGGGCAGCAGCCCAAAAAATGTCCTCCAGAGTAACCGAAGGGAAGGACCCATTCAAAAGTTTGCGCTCTGAGCAGTCCCTGTGGCTGCAGACATTGGTAGCACGGGTGTCCCAGTCTCCGGTAAGATCACAGCTGTCGATTTCAAGTATGGGCGGCTCCGAGATGTAAACGGTAAGTGAACTAGATGCGTTTGAATGTTAAATTTTGGATTTTTATAAGGATACCTGTAACATTCCGTACGGCTCGTAGCTCCGCCAATTTTTGTAGCACAGAAATCATTCCTTTTGTCTGAGCATACATTTTATGTCTCGTAGAATATCTGATTTTGTCCGGTACTCATATCACCAAGGATCTGCTTGAAACTGCCTATTTTATGAAAATGTAACTTCCGTACTTATGTAATTTTCGCACAGCTGTGTAACTTCCGTACAACCGATTTTACACGGGTGTTACCTACATTTTCGAGAATTCTGCAGTGGGAGCTCTGGTATCTTCAGGCAGGATGTGGTCAGGGGACAGGCCCAAACAGACCCCAACCGAAAAAAAAATTCTCATATTTTTTTTTTGTTGAGATTTTAGGAGGCCAAATATGTCGCTTATTTTGACAACCTTCCTTAGCAGCCATGTTCAGGTGCAGCCACCAATCAGTGCAATCTCTTAGGATTGATATGTGATACGTGAAGAAATGTACCAGTGTACTGTATATTAACGGTGGTGGTAGCATAAATAAAACTGTGTGTCTCTAAACTATAGCAATGCCCTTTAGCTGGTTCAGTGACTCACTTTTCCTGTACTTTTTTTGTGCCGCCCATAACTGATGTCACTTGCATTTATCCGCACTAGCATAAAGAATACACAGTAAAATGCCTACCTGTAGCAAAATACCCTAGGATAGTTTAATTTATGTAAAACCTAACACACTTTCTTCGGTGCAGGTTGACATGACAGAACGTTGGGTTACGTTGGGTTACTGGCTGCAGGCGCGGAGCGCTGGCCGGATACACTGAGAAACTAAGTGTGCAACTGCTTCGTTGTGCGTGTGCAACTGAAAGTAAATACTTGAAAGTTGGGCAAGGACGGAGTTGCATACTTAGTTTCAATGTAGTGGTGGGGAAACACCTACTCCGACTGCCCCTGGAACCGAGGGGGAAACGACTACGGTAATCCGGCTGACAGCCGTTAGGTAATCCGGCAGGGGTAATCCGAGGAAATTCTAAAAAAACCGGGGTAATCCGGGCAAATTTGGGGGTAATCCAGGAAAATTTGGGGGTAATCTGGGGTAATCCTAGAGAAAAGGCAACGTAATCCGGAGGATACTCCGGAGGTAATCCGGGTAATCCGTAATCCGGCTGACACAAATTTTAACAGTTGTTTCCCCCTCGCCTGGAACCCACTCCGCGCCTGCAGCCCCTACAGCCAGTCTTGGCCACCCATTAGTGTCGTGTCAGCCTGGACATCCGGTGCTTCACAAAATTGTGTCCAAATCTGTGTGGTACTCACTCAACGCAATCACCCGCAGTTATGACATCCAGAGGTGATATTAGAGCGCCGGTGCAACTTCTTATTTCAGCACCAGAATTATCAGTTTTCTGTATTTCAACCTGAAAAGTCACAAACCTATTAATCGTTGGTACTGCTTACGCTTGTTTTGTGCAGCTGTTGCAACGGCAGACCGGTGTATTTGGATTGTCTGACTTATTTTTCTCTGACCTGGTAATTTTTCCGAAATCCCCAAATCCCCAAAAGTGCTGCTGACCTCGGTTTTGTCCGCCCGAATTTTTTTTCGACCTCTTTTCCCCCTACCTCCTTGATATGCTGAAATTTGGGAAGAATGTGCTTCAAAGAGCAAGAGGCTTCATTTCTGTGCATTCTGAACTTTGAACTGTCCAATCTTCCTCTATTTGGGCTGGCTACCGACACAGCTTAAAAGGAAACTGTGCAAAAGACGTTGCACTGCACCTTTTCTCTTCGATGTCGAACGCGGGGTGCATGTGCAAAAGAATTGCAATTTTACACCCTTATAATGCCATTAAGTATCTCCTTTGAATGTTTTTCTCGTGAAGAAAAGCGTGCTCTTGGTTTTTCATGTTCCTTGTATTAAAGAAGGAAGCGCTACCCTGAAGAGCGTTAGGATTTTAGAAAGTATAAATTAATCCTATAAGCACATTGTCCTTGAATAAATCAAGTGCGTGAGAAATCAGAAGTACACGGATCCCAAGAACAGCCTTTTTTGTTGTGCCTGCAAGCTGAAGACTTACCAAGAAAAGAAGATTGCTCTTAACTGCGGTCTGGGGATCAATATCTGTAGTGGCACTGACAATGGCTGGTGATAAGGCCTCTAGGAGGCCAAAACCTAGTAGCATAGCAGCACAAATAGGTACTTGAGTTTCAGTCACACTTGTAAAATATAAGAAAGATGTTGCTTCTACACCAAAACTCCGCTTCCGCTGATAAAAACGTAGGTGTCTACTAATCCTACTATGGCTGCCAGGAAGGTCATCTACACCACGGGCCGCTATGGCACCAGGCCGAGCAGGCCGGGCCCCAGCCGAACGGTAAGTAAAGCATGGGGCTACCCTTGGCGGAAGCTGGCCCGCTTGTTGCGCTGTTGTTGATGAAATATTGAGGAAGTTGGCCCATTTCGGGAGCGGTCAATTAGAACCCCATACCCTATGGTGTGGTTCCTCGTTTCAAAGCTATTTTAGTTGAGAGGAAATTAGAACTTAGAAAGTCCACCCCTTATTCGTCTTGAGGGAATAAGGGTAATAAGGGCATAAGTAAAGTGATCATCAGTAATTTCTGTTTCTTCAGCGTGGAATGCACGCCGTTTAGACTACTTGGGTCTTGAAGCTCGAAATAGCCTATACTCCTGGCGGCTGTCAAGGGCCTCCTTTCATACGCGCCAGTCGTCGCCCCCATGCAAGAAAGTCCGTTATACGACGGTCGCCCAGAGAATGTCCGATCTACAAGCTTCGTTTAGAAAATGTTCGATCTGCATTAGCCCGGCTGGAGAATATCCGAAGCAACATTTTTGACCGTTTTGAGATATTGATGCCATTTTATGTAACTTAGCGAGATACGTAAAATGGCATCACTATCTCAAAACAGTCAAAAAGGTTGCTTCGGATGTTCTCCAGCCGGGCTAATGCAGATCGAACATTCTCCAAACGACGCTTGTAGATCGGACATTCTCTGGGCGACCGTCGTAGAACGGACTTTCTTGCATGGGGGCGACGCAGTGTGTTACCCAAGGGGGAATCACTCCGGATGAAAGTGTACGAGTTAAGTTAGTAGACGGTAGTACATCTAGTTTCTGGCGTCATGTTCCATCATTTATGCAAAATTTTCTTTAGTACTATTACGCTTGATTTCTACCGTTAGATCGCGTTACTACCCAGTTAATACAAGACTACGTCTTTAGTACAGGCCTAGGTGTACAAGTTAGTACGCAAGTGATTTCCTCTCGGTATAACCGTGTGACCTGATTGTCAAACAATTTGGCAGGCGATGTTTGAACGCATGCCCTGTCTGAATGAAGCGTTGACAACAAAATGCTGAAAACGCCACAACCAATGTAGACGCCTTAAGCCCGTAACTCTCCCAGGTTGGTCACTTCTACGTTCCTCAGGCTAGAGATCCTGCAGAATACATTTCGTTACCTACCCAAGATGATATGAGCACCAAGAGCTGACGCACTGCCCATTGCGTAGCCTGTAATCGAGCCGTTTGACAGTAGTGCAAAAGTACATGACTTTTAAAGCTTTCCGCGAACTCCAAGACTACTCGGAGCGTTAAGAGTACCGTGTCCAATCTCTGTGAGTGCCTTTACCTCATGGACACATATAACAGACTCACACGATAGAGGTAACGGTATTTTCTGTAGTCGTGCCTCTTCAACAAAACACAAATTAGACACAAATTAAATATTGCAGACACTTTCACACTGACACGGGAAAAACACCTCTCTGTTTCCGTTAGAAACCGCTAATCCTTAGAACCATTATATATAACTAATTCAGAGAGTATCTGTCAAGATTATTTGTCAAGTCGTCTCTAAGAGCCAACAATACAGGGGTATTTTAACTTTAAATTATACAGTACCTTCTGATTTTTCGGCAATGTAACTAATGGATTCTTTAATGTTCAAAGCAAGGACGTACAGCAGTGTATGCCGCTGCAACTCAAATGGAACCTTCAGAGCATGACTGCCCGATCTGTTTCCTTCTCAACGCTGATCGGCTAACGATAGCGTTGGTGTGGCGGTCAGACGATTAGCGCCCCGAGGAAAACAGGAAGGGAGAGCGGGGTACCATGAACATGGGGCACGATGAGCATTTTGAATTTACGTGCTAATGATGTCACCGCCCGCCACCAACCAATAAGACGTTGATAGGGTGTGTGCCAGCGGATGTTTTAATCGAGAGCTCGAAGTCACACCGCGCGTAAGACGAGGAAGAGAGGTTTTCATAACTTTAAAGAGAGCATCGAGCATAAAATTATTCGGGATATTTTTTTTAGAGCCGAATGTTGAGTCGAACAGTGCAAGCGACGTTTACCCTGCTTTCTGTAACCTTCTTACCATAAAATACGCCTGGACGCGATTTTTCGGAACACTTAAGGTTAAGGGGGCATCCTAGTCTAGCGGGCCTAAACTAAGGGTGATTTGCGTAATTAATTTTAGAGAACCCATACTTTTAAAAACAAACCCGAGTATACCGTTTTGTAGCGCATACTTTTAACTTTAAAACGCAATGTGTATGACGTCGACACGCCTACCCAAAGCTGCGGTATCCCCTGTTGGAAACGGCACTGCAGCTTCGTCGTCTTGTCATGGTTGGGCCACGGGTGGCCTCACAGAAGCCCCGAAGAACGCTTTATTTACAGGAAGTTTGTAGGCATGGTAAATATGATCGCTACACAATTGCCCTAGTGCCCACAAGATTCCATGTAAACCTGCCAGATGTGTACCTCGCATGGTGCGAGCGGGAAAGGACTTGACCAGCAAGTCGCGTGCATTTATGGAGCACCTTTTGCAGTCCGCCACAAGTTAATCATAATGAAACACCAAATAAGATTCCATAGCTTCTTGTTCTAATTTATAAATATCATATACGATTAAAAAAAAAAACAGAGTAATCTAATATGGAGGAACGCATTGAAATAAGTTACGGACACAACTAAGAAGTTTCGTGCACTGTGAAAACGTGTAAAAGTTACATATTTATGAGTAAAGGTGAACACAAATAAAACGCTCAGTTATAAGAAACAAAAGATAACTGAATAGCAAGAATATTAACGAATATCAAAGAACACTCATTAACACTAGTAATGCACTAGATAATATTAAATACTAAGTTTTGCTTAAAGCGAGAATAATGGAGTTGAAGATCCCTCCCCCATACCTTCTTCTTTAACCTCTAGCTCAAAATAATAGTCACTGCCCTGCTCCTGTCCCGGTGCTGGGGTACTGCCCTGCTCCTGTCCCGGTGCTGTGCTGCTTTGCTCCTGTCCCGGTGCTGGGGTACTGCCCTGCTCCTGTCCCGGTGCTGGGGTACTGCCCTGCTCCTGTCCCGGTGCTGGTGTGCTGCTTTGCTCCTGTCCCGGGACAGGAGTACTGCCCTGCTCCTGTCCCGGTGCTGGGGTACTGACCTGCTCCTGTCCAGGTGCAGGGGTACTGCCCTGCTCCTGTCCCGGTGCTGGGGTACTGCCCTGCTCCTGTCCCGGTGCTGGTGTGCTGCTTTGCTCCTGTCCCGGGACAGGAGTACTGCCCTGCTCCTGTCCCGGTACAGGAGTACTGCCCTGCTCCTGTCCCGGTGCTGGGGTACTGACCTGCTCCTGTCCCGGTGCTGGTGTGCTGCTTTGCTCCTGTCCCGGGACAGGGGTACTGCCCTGCTCCTGTCCCGGTGCTGGGGTACTGCCCTGCTCCTGTCCCGGTGCTGAGACACTGCCCTGCCCACCACTTGCCGCTTCAGTTCCCGGCTTTGCTGCTGAAGGTGTCGCGTCACCCTGCGCTTGGCCGGCCTTGCCTCCAGGCTGCCCCGGACGCGCTGCCACGTTCTTCCCCGCTACAACTTCTATTACTATGTGTACGGTGTTGTCGCCTCGCCCGCCCTGGCCTCCACCCGCGTTGTCGCCTCTCCCGCCCTTGGGTCCAGCCGTGGTCGCGTCGCCCCGACTCTTCCCGCACGCCGCGCCGCGCCCCGTCGCTGCGTTTGAGCTTGCGCAGCAGAGATCGCAGTGCCTCGCGCCACCGCGGTCACGAGCTGCGTTTGAGCCGCGCTGTGGCCCCCGCCCGCCGCCGCACTTGTTAGCGCAGGCCCAGTCGTTCAGGATGATCTCGGACCGGGTCCGCCCCTCCCTTCCCTCGAGACATGGTGCCTGTAATAAAGAATCGGACGGCATTTGCAATGTCTGCTTACGTTAACAGTGAAACATGCTACCATTAGATTGTCCCGTTCTTCCCCCTCCCTTGTGCTAAGTCTCTTTCACTAAACACCTAGAATGAAAAGGTAATATTAAATGGGTTAACACCTGTTTATGTAACCATGTAACCTATCTGTCGGACGTCTGATGCCAGTCAGTGCGTCTAAAACATAAGTTATTGAGACTTTAGGGCCACGCGCTAGCTTTATTCCTACTCTGCAAACCCAAGATATATATACGTTGCTGCATTGCCAATGCAACAAAAGATACTAGTGTCGCGCTGCCCTGTAAAGATAGCAATATGACACGGAGTGTCCTACATGAAAAAACAACAACTAAAGAACACAGTGTCCTACACTTATATGTGTAGTAGTAGGCAAATGGCCTCATACATAAAACGGTATTTCCATTAGTACTGAAATTTCCAGAGCATAGGACTCGTCCATGACTGATTTAACAGTTAGTTGACTCTGCCGGTCCAACCATATTTCACACTGAGCATCTTAACTACCTTGACGCGCGCTGCCCATGTAGCCGTCACGAGAAGCAGGGCGCAGCAGAGGCTTGCTCCCCCGGCAGCGCCCACCATACTGTGGGTGCGCGGCTGCACTAAACCCCTACCGAACGCTATCGCGCGGCGCAAACCCGGATGTGGCATGTAATCCTACTGCACGCTTTAGCTCACAAATTCGTAGCTCACTTGGTCATTTGGACACGCTTACGCTCCCAGAGGAGTGGGCGGGCCGGCAACGGGCGCAAAATGTGACTCCGGCTCAAGCAGAGTTGACGCAATTTTCACTCATCAGAATGTCCGTTTCGCAACTCAAAGTAACCCGCATGGAAAGGCGAGGCTAAACCGCGTCTGAAAACTGTCCGAGCTTCCTAGACATTGCTTGCACGCCTGAGTAGACGCGATTCAGCCAATTTTCAGACGACTTTTCTGTCTGAAACTTACCCGACTTTTGAACTAGCCGGCGCTGCAGACTGCAGCGCCCATGCGCTGT